GAAATGAAAAAGACAAATATATCAGTTTTAACGAGTGTGAGATTGGATTCTTTAAAAATAAGAAGTGAAACGCTAAAAAAATACGAAATAGAAAATAACGACGGAGTCGAAAAAAAGAATGAAACTCCAATAATAATAGATAATCCAATTAAAAACATTTAAGAGTTGAAATATCGAACGATATAAAACGAATCTCATAGAAAAGAAATATAAACATAAGTTGCACTAAGGATATTTTTTTCACAAGAATAATTTAGAAAATAATTACTTATTTAAATATATTGTCAAGAATCAAGTGTAAGCAACGGGTAAATAAATTGGAAGTATAGATTTTTTCTTTTTTAAAACTTATGGCGACAATCAGTAACATGAAATCAAGAATGAATAATTTACTATTACTATCGCACAATAAAGATCAGGTACATCAAAACAACAATAAATTATTCAACTACTGTACATCAAAACATGTTTGTTGAAAACAAAATTGTTGTTTGTATACTTTTTTAAAAACTTTTAGACCTATTATCGTAATTTTTATAAGAAAATCAAGAATTTCTTTTTAACTTTCTATTTTTCAAAAACCACGTTAGTCACGAAACGTTTTGGACTAATTTTACGCATGCCTTTCAAGAATAAAGATTTGAAAATAAAATGTTTACATAAAAATTTGATTTATCAGAGCTTCTGATGCTACACCTCTTCAAGACTTTTGGCGTCCTAACGAGAATAACGACGCCCTAAACTGCAGACTTTATTTTGTTGGATCTTTTACATTTACAGAAACGCCTTAAAACTATAAATAACCTATAATATAAAATATAATATATAATGTTAGTTACTGAGACTTAATTAAGATTTATAAATGTTGTGTAGAATTCATTCGAAAGACAATTACAAATACGTTATTAACAAATAACAGATTAAAAAAACGTAGAAAGTAGATGACAGTTATTACAAAAAATAAGACTCCTAATACATGATAAGGTATCAAGTACGCCTGCATGGTTCACTCAAACTTGTTCAATTATTGCAGGGATGTGCAGCCCTGTTTGTAACCAAATAGCTGTTGGAGCTAGTTGGCAAAATATTTGCAGGGCAAGCTGGCAACACATTCCAACTTAACTTAATTCTAATTGGTAGTAAATTTCAAAGGTTTTCCACTTTTAATTAAAAAAAAAAATTATTATAATACAAAAGAGTAGATCTGCACTTATATAACTTCCAGTGACAGATTCGGTAGGGGGATACTGAAATATTTTTGTACTTTGTTTCACATTTGCGTCTCCTTAAAAAAAAAGAAACTCTTTACCTCTAAGATTTTGTAGGACTTTCAGCCTCTAGTGGGAGTAGGGGGGTGCATACCCCATACCCCTGGATCCGTCACTGATAACTTCAAAAAGTGTTTCAAAAAATGCTTTAAATTATATATATATATATATATATATATATATATATATATATATATATATATATATATATATATATATATTTATATACATATATATCTATATAAATATATATCTATATAAATATATATATATTTTTTACTTTTTTTTTATTGCAAGCAACTACTATAAGAGTTGAAAGTTGGAAGAGAAAAGATGAAGTTTATAGAGCAAGATAACGATTAACAGATGACCTAGAAGATTGCAAACTATATAAATCAGGAAAACAGGAAGAAGGGAGCGATTATTGGAGTACTTAGGAATAGTTATAAAAAAAGGATGAGACTTAATTGAATAGCGAGTAACACAAGAATGAATTTTAGTAGATAGCACAAGAGACGCTAGCTCTTTAGAGCATAGCAAAATAAACATCTGCCAAGGTTGCATCTCTTTATTATCCTCGCCACTTTCTTACTCCGGATTATTAATTCCTTTCTAACGATTGGTAAGGAAGGATTCAATAGTCTTAAAGATGTTACTTAATTCACGGGAAGAAGAGAGCTTATGGAAAAGATCAGCATGCCAAACTTTATCAAATGCTTTAGAAATATCAAGAGCGATAGCCTTAGTCTCTCCACATCTAATGCACGATAAAACCTATCGGTTAATTCCTTTAACAAATCAGCAAAAGAACGAGAAGATCGAAATCCATATTTATGATCAGAAAGTAAGTTATTAGATAAAGTGTTAGTTAATTAAAGACTCAAAAACCTTGCTTATAATAAGAAAAAGACTAATGGGACCAGTGCCCATGGCTAGTGTGTGTAGAGCCTCCCCCCCCCCCCCAAAAAAAAAAACCTGTTATTAGGGCCCCAATTTTCAAAATATTTCTAATTATATTATTTATAAATAAAATAAACGCCTTCTTAATTTTGCTAAGGGTGAATGAGGAGAAACTGAGCACTGAATAGGATCAGAAACAAGACATAAGTCGAGTAGAGATAGTAAATGACTCGGATTGTCTAGAAAGGAATATTGACTGTTTGTGCTAGAAATTGAGAAATGCATAAGTTGTGGGCCTTAACGCCTGCAGTATAACTGAAACTAGAACTAAGCCATTCAAGGTATAATAATAATAATAATAATAATTTTAGATAAAAATTACTATTTTAAATTTTATGGCTTAAAAACATTTTTTAACAAAAATTAAAAAAAGTACATTTTTTTATAGTATTTTTTTAATAAACTTTTTAAATTTGTGCTTCCATACTTTTTTTTAATTATTTTTGAAATTTTTATAAAATTTCACTTATATTGAGACCCAACATGATATGCTTTTTATGTAGTTTTATGAGCTAGGGGTCTGTCAAGTTAGAGTTGGCATCTCCAAGGCTTTGACTAAAAAAGCCTATCCTACAAGGCAGGATGAAACAGGTTGAACTGGGTTACATGTTACCAGTAGCAGGATAATCAACCTGACCAAAGGACTTTAACAATTATTATAGAATTTCTCCTGAAGAAAACTTTTAATATGGAAAGGGCATAACATAAAAATACCACAAAAAGCTATCAATATGAAAACCAGAAGCAACAAATAAAGAACATGTTTCCAGTTTTAATCGAACGTTAGAAAGTTTTACATTAATTTGCAAACTATTCTTAATTTTTTAAAGCTGGAAAGTGGATATTTAAAATATGGATGAAACTGTTTATTACATTGGTCAAACTCCAGATCAACTTTTTCCCAAATCTAACAAAACAGGAATGTTTTACTGATAAAAGGAGGTGGAATTTATTTTCCAGATGTAATCTGGAAAATAAATTCCACCTCCTTTATTGTTGGGAGTACACTTGAGGTCTCTCAAGTGTACTCCCAACAATATTAAGGCTAATTAAAAAAAAAAAAAAAACAGGAATTTTTCCACTAAATGTTAATATTTTTTGTAAATATGATTTTATGCCAGCCTATAATAAAGGTAGAAAAATCTAAAACCAAGCTCTGCTATGGAAGGTGTAGTGCTAAACGTAGTAATATAACTGGACACTGGTTTAGAGCCACATTATGAGATTTCATATTCAGACAATAATGATGTACATAATCCATCTACTACTTAACTATAGTTTTATTTCCTGAAGACTGTTCAAAACAGCTAAAGCAAGAAAAGAAAAAAAAAGATAAAAGCAATAGAACCACATCAGTACAGGCAATACTGATAGAAAAGAGAATAAAAAAAAAATACCGGGTAAAAAACCAACTAATAATAAAGTTTATACTTAACGAAAAAAAAGACTGAATCGTGGGAATTGCTCTGTTAAAGAGACTTTTTTGTTTGATTTATGTTGGAATGATTTCTAAAAACAAACCAAAAGTCTGAAAGTCAATTTTTTTTATTGCTGTGAAATATACTTGCTGAATTTTATTATGAGTTAAATTATGAAAAATTTATAAAGTAATAAATAATTTTTTTTCATTATTAATAATTACTAATTATCATACAATAAAATAATAATTTTTCATTATCAATAATCAATAAATAATTTTTTTTCATTATCATCAATACTTACCATGCCAAACAAGTGTGTAATCTGTAGAAGTGGATAAAAAAGCAAAACATCAAATACAAAAAGAAATTCTCAAAAATTGACTTATAACAAACTTATAACAAAAATATTGTTTTTGCCTACCCTGTTGTTATAAAAAGACCTGAGTTACAAAAAAAAAGGATTAAGTTTGTTAATTGAACAAATGAAAAACACCTGAATAAAAAGAACTAAAAACACCTGAATGCTCTGTAGAGCATTTAGGTGTTTTTAGGAGCATTTTGATCCAAAATTTTTAAGGCATGGTGTTAGAATGACTCTTATTCATAATCTTTAATCAATGCCAACTATTTATTAAGATAATGCAATTATTATTAATTATTCTGTTATTACCTACTCCAGGTCCACCATAAAAAACTTCTACTAGATGTGTCACAATCAATCTAACATAAACATGTTAAATTCATCTTCAAGCCCTTTCAACTTTGTTTTTCAAAAATTTGACTCCAATGTCTTATATTATTATTCTTTTAATGTATAATCTATTGATAATGTTCCCTAAATTGAATCATTCCCAGTTCCCTAAATTGAATTTTAAATTGAATCAATACAAGTTGATTCCACCTTTCATGTAAAATAGCATTAAAAAGGTTATCAAATTCCTCTTCCACAGTGTTTAAAGCAAAACCGATACTTAAAAATATAAGTATTTTATAAAACTTATATGTAAGCTTGTTATATGTTGTGCTTGTTGCTTGTGCTTGTTATATGTTGTGCTTGTTGTAATTAATTTACTATTAGAGGAATAAAAAGTACATTCAGATTGTATTTTAAGGCTTGATTTAATGTTCCTACAGAAATGTAGTGAGTATTGCTGTGGTATATATGTTGGTTTAGATGAAAATTGAAAATTTTCAAAAAGTATCCTTGTTTTTATGATTGTAAGTTTAAAAAATCCCCTATGTCACATTTTAAACTTTGATACCAGAAAATGGTAAGCAAAGTTCTTGCTCTAAATATCGTTGATGAAACTACATCAGCTTTTATAAAAATTGGACAAAATTTTTGATAAACTGAAGGCCATTAAAGAATAAGTTGTTTTTTGTCATGTATTAAATAAACATTTTTTAATAAGTTTTTTTGAATGGAAAAGCACTAATTTATCATTATTATAGTAAAAACCAAGTTTATAAACCCTTAATTAGGAATAAATGTGTAATCTGTGAAGTTCAAAATAAATGTTTTATTAACACAAAATCAGATTAGAAAATTTTGGTACAAAATAGATAAAATGCGTAATTAAAAAAAGTTTATTTTAATTAAAAATAGTTGGTTTAAAAGTCTTATAAACCAACTAATTTTAATTTAATGAATCTTGAAGATTCATTGAGAAACAATATAACTATAATTGGAATGCGTTTTTGGACCTTGTCTAGAAGAGAATGAGCATCATTAGAAGAACATGTAATATGAAAAAAATATAAAAATTGTATTTAGTTTAACAACTTAGAATAAATTATACTTTTAACTTTTGACTCCAAAAAGCGATCCCAAAAAATCTTGCGATTTGTAGCAGTAACATACATTAGCAAACATGCATTAGTTTTAACTGGTTATTAACTCATTAGAAAGATGTAACTACATCAGGAGTTTTTCTCGATGTGTAACTACATTTGACTAAAATAATGCATAATTATATAAAATTTCCGGACGTAGTTACATTCGAAAAAAATTAGATGTGTAATTACATCTGGTTAAAATAATGCATTTTGAAATTCTTTATTTCCCGGATGTAGTTACATCCGAAAAAAATCAGATGTGTAACTACATCTGGTGAAAATAATGCATTATTAAAAAAAAAAAAAAATCCGGATGAAGTTACATATATAAGTTACATATATAATTATTATATTATATATATGCTACTACATTGACTGACAAACAGCCTGACTCGCAACGGAGTGCTGTTACATCGACTGAGGGTTTGGGTTGGGCAGGCAATCTATCAAATAATTAAAAAAAAATAATAATTATGCTTAAAATGATGCATTATAATAAATTTTTTTTTGGCGGATGTAGTTACATCTGAAAAATCTTGCGCGGATGTTATTATACACCAATAAAATTTCGGATGTCGTTGGACATATTATACATCAATGAAATTTGGGATGTTGTTGCACGGATGTTATTATTTATCGATGAAATTTCGAATGTTGTTGGACAGATGCTATTAGACATAGCAAAAACAGATGTTGTTACCCTGACCCGTTTTAAATTTTTTCTGTACTGTTAAACAAATTATTTAACATCATGAAAAATATTAAATTTTTTTAAGGGTATGAAAAATAAAATTTTATTAACCGCACTCTTTTCGATAGAATATGATTAACAAGATAAAAAAACTTGGTGGAGTATGATTTAAAAAACTAAAACACCCATTTTGATAGAATATTATTGGAAAAGATTACTAAATGTTGAGAGACGCTTAGTCGCTTACGAGTAGAGATGCTTACAAGTAAAGGTTAGAGACACTTACGAGTAAAAAATTGTTTACAAAATAGTTTTTTTTTATACGTCTCTTTTACCTAAGTTTTCTAACACCTTATATTAAATACCATTAAAATAAAAATTAATGCAATATGGCTTCTGCAGACAGTGCTACATAATCACATTAAATAATTTTTTTTTTTTTTAATTTGCAGATCTGTATGCATACTATGCATAACTTTTAAGTTATACTTACTTGCAATCCTTCAAGATTAGAAGTGCGCTCGACAAGAAAATTATCTTTTTGTAACAAATCTCGATATTTTGAAGTTAATTCATTAAATTGGCGATTGGCTAACTCTAAATCAGAACTAGGCACAGAGTCATCCAGAATTTTCTGCAATGCATTGATTTTATAAATACACATAGCCTATAAAAATATTCAATTAAGTTTATATACAGTTACTTTTTTATTTAAAAGTAGTGAAAAGATATGAACTTTCAAAATACTTCAGAATTATAGAAAACACATAAAAGGCAAATACCTTATATCGTTCTAGTTCACCGATTTTACTTGTAACTGAAGCTTCTAAATCCACAGTATCTTTTCTAATTTTTAAATTTTCTTTACGGAGATTTTTCTCCACATCTTGAATAACCGTGTATTTACGAGTAATGGATTTCAAATTAACAGCCATTACTGTAATCTTACGAGTCATTTCAACAAGCAAGTGTTTATTATCATCTGGCTCACTGTTTAACTTCTCAAAAAAATTCTGAAACCCATTTATCAATAATGATTAACAAAAAATTATTAAAAAAATTTAATATCTAAAATATAAATCAAATTCAGAATTTATTATCAAAAATGCATGTCACTTACTTCAAACTCTTGTAAACGTACATGATCTTCGGCTCTCTGCTGAAGTAAATCTTCCTTTTTTTTTTCATAATCTAACTTTTCTTCTTCAGCCTGCATCTTTAGTTGTATATGTTCTTGATATAATATACTCTACAAAATAACCAAAAAAAACCCGTTTGATTGATATAACAAGAAATCGTCATTAAAACAAAAATAATCAACTTGATATTGCTTTCAAATCTCTAAATAAAAAAAGCAACTTGTTGGTGAGCCAAAACAGAATATTTTCTGCGACAATCTTCTAAACATCGCTCCATATCATTGCAAATCTCTTCTTTATTAGAAAGCTCCTAGAAAAAACAAACATGAAACAATATTTTTAATAAGTCTAAAATAATTATTTTTTAAAAATATTGTATTTTTATGTTCAAAGTACATAGGAGAATACATTTTACACAGATTTCTGACCTGCAGTACTTGAATAAGATACTCATTAAGGCAAGCTATTATATCCTTTGAAGTTGGATTGACACCAGCAGGGAGAGGCAATGGATTAATCTTAACTACATTTTCTCCTAATATAAAAAATATAAAATAAACTAAAAATATCTTAACCTCCTCTAACATCCTGTGTAAACAAAAACTTACTATTTTCATTCAAATTCAAAATTTCATTTTCCAGTATATCAATCTAAAAATTTTAGTAATGCAATAAATAGTTGAAATATACAATACTAAATCATCGTTATAAGTACTTAGTATGATGAAGAACAAATTTTGTATGAATTTGATTATTACTTTAAAAATTTTTCTTTCCAAGTCAGCGGTGAGCTTTGTGATTTCACTTCTTGCAGTTTGCAACTCCCAGCGTAGTTCATCATTTCTTCCCGCCAAATTGTTTAACTAAAAATAAAATTTTGTTTTGGCTTTTATTAAACAATTTTTTTTAGTTTTTCAATTAAAAATAAATTTATAATCAAAATCAAAACAAAACAGAATTTTGTTTTGATTTTGATTATAATAAAACAAAAGAAAATTAATTTTTAATAAATTTATATTTCACAAACTAAAGTTCTTAATTTTTACTTTATTTTAAAGATTATCAATATCATATTCCTAAAAATAACACACTTTATTTATGTTTAGTATGTTTTCTCAGAAATTTAAAAACATTTGCTTTAGTTTCTTAAGTTATTACTTAAGACTTCCATGTTTAAAAGTCAAAAATTTAGAAGCAAGTTTAAGATGAACCCACAACTATATATAGGTTTTCTAGAAAACCTTCATTTAGTTGTGGTCAATTATCTCCATATAGTTGCGATTCAAAGAGATATTTAAGTAATTACGACAAAGACCATATATGCAACTTTTTTAACTTTCTATAACTGAGATTTAAAACCAACAAACAAGCAAAAAGAATAAAAAAATTAAAATCCATCATGGATTTGATATATCAAATATTCAATTCTAAGAATATATCATCAATTATCATCATCATCATCATCATCATCACATCATCATCATCATCATCATCATCATCATCATCATCATCATCATCATCATCATCATCATCATCATCATCATCATCATTATAAAAGCCTGTTCTAAATTCCTAAAAAGAAAAAAACTAAAAAGAAGGCAATGTACCTGAGCTTTTAATTGAAGTGTTGTATCATATTGACCTGTTGCATGCCTCTGTTCAATTATCTGAAAAAATATAAAACTTATGTACATTGCATACATAAGTAGGAAAAGAGGGTTTGCTGTGAGGAATGTGTTTAAGCAAAACACCTAAAAAAGCTTGAAATTGAGCGAATACCATATTGTTCATTGAGCGAAAAGCAAACCTTAAACTCTTTCTTATCAGCAAGTTCATATTAGCATTTTAAAATCAGCAATAAGGATGGAAAAAAAATGCAATAGCTTACAGCAATAAGGGTGTCCAATGCAGGAACTTGTAAAACCATAGGCGACACTCCTAAAATCAGTTCAATATATTTTAAAACTAAGTATTTGTGTTAATATAATATTGAACATAAAAAAAAAAAACTGTAGACAAAAAACAACTAACCTGATTTTAAAGCCCCATTAATTTCACGCAACCCTATTTCAAGCTTACTCGACTCTTCTTTAAGTATCTATTAAAATAAATTAAAATATTTAATTAGATTTTGAGATATATAAGTTGTATATTGTAACATATGCTTTCCATGCTTTATGGTCCCAAGTAATACTCTCTTTAACCTTTTTTTAAATGATAAGTATTTAATTTTTTAAACTTATTGATATTTTTTTTATAAAATGTTTTATATTTTAATATCAAAACAAATTAACAAAATTTTTATAAGCAATAGTAAGAAGCAAGCTTCACCATGTTGTATAGCCTCCACCATGTCCTGGTGAGAAAGTAGAAATTTTCTTGAAAAGTTGAAAATTTTTGTTCAGAAGCTTTGAAATTTATGACTAAAACTTCGAAGTTTATTATCAAAAAATATATTCAAATAGATGATTAATTCATAAACATCTGAAAACATTTCATTTTTAAAAGTTTATTTATTCTTGGGACATAAATACCTAAATTCAAATCTAAATTAATAAACTTGCTTTTGTTTGGTATAAATTATTTATATTTAACCTTTATTATTTTATTTTATTAAAATCCTAGCAAAGATTTTTAGCAATAATACTATACAATATAAATACATGAACTATGAAAGATTTGTACTTTATTTTCTTCTTCTAAAGTTTTCTTTTGCTGTTCTAAAATGTTATTTTGTTCTTCTAATATTTTTAATCTTGTAGAATCTTCTTCTATGGGGGAACTTTTTTCCTGTTAAAAAAACAACAGACTTTAGGTTTTTAAACTTGACATTTAATTTAAAAAAACTGTAGTTGTGACAAAATCAATGTTACAACCAGCTGCTATAAATAACATTTATCAACATTATTTTTATCCACATTATTTTGGACTGTAATGTTTGCTTCAATTCAAAAATGCAGTTTAAGAGAATCTTCTCTATATGAGCTTTTTATATTGATATAAATGTTGATATATAGGTATTTATTTTGGTATTTATACTAACACCTACCCTAAGTATACTGGTAAAGCAATCTACTAGTAAACCTGCAATCATTTCTATTAATCTGATATAGATCAATAGTGACTATTAGTAATACATCATATTACTAACTTGTATATATTTTTTTACAATTTTTGATTTAGGTGACACTGTAGAGATATCATATGGTTCTTCTAGATCTTCAGAACTCAATCCAAGTTCTACAGCCCTTGAATGACAAAATTAGATTACAAACTAGATTGAAACAGCATAATACTTTGATAATTATAAAATTAACAAAAAATATACCACATCCTGAAATATATTTAAAATATATTTCAGGATGTCCAAAGATAAAATAAATAAAAATTTTAAAATCTACCTTTTCCCTCTATCAAGTGCTTGCTTTCTAAGAGCTTTTTTTAATTGAACTCTTTCCTCTTCCAAAACCTCAATCTGAAAATACAAACTTTGTACAGTTATTACTCTAAGTTTAATGATTGCAACCTTTGTTTGTTGTTGTCTTTGTTGTTATGTAACATTAAAAAAAACCTCAGGTTATACTTTATATATTATTTATTTTTCATTAGGTAGCTATATTCATTTAATAAAAATTACTAAATAATTAATGAATTAATTATTTCTTAATCTTTTAATAAACTTTATATTAGTAATAATACAAAATATATTTACAATATGTTGATAAAATATTTTTAATATAATATTAACTCTTTTTTATGTTTCCTAAACTTTCCAAAATAAACTTTTGTCAAACGAATAAAAACTTTTTAAAAAAATTAAATAGAATAAAACATTTTAATTTTGTTTGCTTTGAGAAAACAGGTTTGTTTTAATTTCGTTGACAAAAATTTTATTTTCCATTTTAATTTTTATTATTCATATGTTACTAATAGAAGAAAAAAAATATTGATCTATAGTCATGATATAAATTATTATATATCATATTTTCAACCAATTAATTTCAGGTTTTAAAATAATTGATTTTTAGGCAAAATAAAACAAATTCAATAAATACAAAACAACAAATCACTTTGGGTATACTTTCTTTGATAGATAAAAATGTTTAAGCAGCAAAATGCAAAAAAATGTTCAAAAGTTTAAGATTAACTATTAGACAAGTTGATTAACTACCTAAACTTGTTCTGCATTTCCAAAATATATGTAACAAAAGTTGACTTGTTTTATAACATACATTGATTGATACAATGATTATTACTAGCATAGAAAAGATTTCAGGTTATTCCATAATTGTTTTCATTCAGAATTCTTTTCAACACATCAAAAAAATAGTTTCAAATTATGTTAAAATAATTTATAATGTAATTAAATATAATAATAGATAATAACACACTTAAATTTTTTTTTTTTTCAACTTTCATATTAATGATAGTTTTAGAGTCTTTACATATTGCTAAAATGGCTGAAAAATGCATTTAGATCTATAAAACAAAACACTAATTAAGTTATCACTATTATTAAAGTTATGTATGTGTTATGTATGATATGTTACGTATGATGTGTTATTTATGATGTGTTATGTATGATGTGTTATTTATATATTATTTATGATGTGTTATGTATGATGTGTTATGTATGATGTATTATGTATGATGTTTTATGCATGATGTGTTATTTATGATGTGTCATTTATGATGTGTTATGTATGATTTGTTATGATGTGCTATATATGATGTGTTATATATGTGTTATTTATGATATGTTATGTATGATGTGTTATTTACGATGTGTTATGTATGATAATAATCTGAAGATTAATTAAAGGTAATGACATATATATATATATTTTTTTTGCACATAAAATTTAATTAGCTATTTTAAATGTATGATACTATTAAGATAATTCTCTAGTTTAAATATCTTAAATGATTTTAAACAGACAAAAATTTTTTGATTATTAATCTGAATGAAAACAATTATGGAATAACCTGAAATCTTGATTTGTATAACTATTTTAAGTTCAATGCAAATGAAAAAAAAATTTGATGATGGAATAAATCCTGGCTAATCAATTACAAATATCTAATAAATAATCCTAATCTATAATAAATCTATAATAATAACAAATAATCCTAATATATAACAAACAATCCTGACTAACCAATTAATCTAAATCAATTATTTTAGTGTTACAAATGATAAGTTTTAAACAACCAAAAAGTTGAAAACTTATCATTTGTAAAACACACTAAAGAAAAAACAAAATTTATTTAGCTATTTCAACCTTGATAATAAATACCTAGTAGATGATGCAAAAAAAAAATAGTTTTAAATGTTATTACTTTCTCAAAAATTCTTGTTTCTAAACTAAATGTTAAATTAAAAAAAAAAGAATGTGAAAAAAATTTAATTTAATTTGGTATTATTATGTGTGTGTGTGTGTGTGTGTGTGTGTGTGTGTGTGTGTGTGTGTGTGTGTGTATATATATATATATATATATACATATACATATATATATATATATATATATATATATATATATATATATATATATATATATATATATATATATATATATATATATGTATATATATATATATATATATATATATATATATATATATATATATATATATATATATATATATATATATATATATATATGTGTGTGTGTGTGTGTGTCTTCTCTTAGAATTTATTTATCCAAAACATTTAACAAGCCTTCATTTGGAAATAAAAAGATAAAGCAATCAAAGAAGTTTTTAAGAAATTTCCAACTGCTCTGGATGTCACTGAATTCAATCTTGCTGCACTAAACAATCTTGCTGCAATAAACAACAATGAAGTTCTAAAGGAGATTCAAAACAAAGTTGGTGGTCTAAACTTTCATGTTGAATGCATGAAAGAAAAAGTTCTAACAGACGGCAGCAACTTCAAATTTTGAAATTGACCCTAAAAATTGTGGCCTATCATGTAAAATTCAAAATGCAAAGTTTTTATGTGACCAAAAAGGTCGCAGCATACCCTGATGTGGTTGCGCAGCATCGAATTTGCAAAGATGTTATAGAGCTTGTAAAGTTTTTTTACTGTATTCAAGGCAAATTCCACATAAAAAAGACTATGTTAGTATTGGAATAAAAAATGTCAAAAAATAGGATAAATTATAGTTTTTTTCCTGACATGTGGAGCTCTATGCAGCATATAAGATAAAGTACGCAGATCATAAAATTGATAACTGTATCTTATTTTATTGATCATAAAATAAGATACAGAGTTACCAATCGATTCAGTGTTCTATTCATCCAGTTATTATCTATCACAAGAAAGTGAAATTAAAAGAATTTTTTTTTTTAATATAGTCATTGATTAGACAATTTTAATCATGATGTTGGATTTATCAATGGAGCTATGCATACAACCATTAATCATATAAAAACTAATATTTCTCCTAACAATTAAAAAAATTATTTTTCTGATGACTGTGCAAGACAGAATAACAACTGCAAACACTTTTACAACTTATGTCACCAAGACTTTCCTTTTGTTGGATCTGGAACTTCTACTTAACAAGCCATGATAAATCTCGATTAAATGGAATAGGTGGCACTGTAAAAAAGGCTTGTTTCCACTGTTAGCTTGCTAGAGTCCAAATTGCTGAATACTGAAAAATTTTTTGAATACTGTCAAAATTCAATCAGTGGGATTATGTTATGTACATTACTGTTAAAAAATGAAGCAAGTATGAAACTAACTGATAGACTTTTAATAGCAACCACTGTTTCTGGGACAGAAAGTTTCCATCAATTTTTTCCTTTTCTTTCAATTATAAAAATGAAACAGGTACCTGACAAGGATAATACTGCTCTAACACTTCACTTCCTCAGTAAACAAAAATATTATTTAGATCAACTATGTTATGATGTTAAAATACATATTTTGCAAATAAGACAAATTTTGAAGTTGATAAAGAGAATAATTATTTTATGGTAAAGTTCATGCATCCCATATTAAGTTGGTTGCACTACTGGCTAAACTGGAATGATAATATTTGGGTGCCCATAATGAATGTGATTGCTCATAATGAATGTGCCCATAATGAATGTGATCTTCTGGACGCCGGTACCACATCTCAAAAAAAAAAAATGAAACTCTATTTAAACTTTTATCTTTTCAGCAAAAGTTTACTAATATTTCACTTTCATTATTTAAAAAAATTATTTTTTAAATGATATAAATTTCAATTTTTTAAATATTTGATTATTTCTTCACAAACTGGACACTCTTCATAAAAAGCTGAATAACCTTTTTTAAATTAAGAATTTGTAAGTTTTTTTGTAAAATTTTTGTTGATTAGAACAATTCCTCAGTGTACAAAAAATTGAAGAAAAGTTTTAACTGAAAATAATTTTTTTTTAAATGATCATTTTTATGAAAATTGTAAAAATTGAACTGCGCAAGACAAAAAAATTGTACTGGCCTTAAAAGCAGACAGTTGCAAATTATATTAAAAAAACAAATAAATTGATAAACTCAAAAAAAAAATTAATTTTAGTGTTAAAATATATGCATAATATTAATATAAACAGAAAAAACTAGAGAAAAAAAAACAAAAGCATGAGAAGCTTGAGCTTGAAATAATAATAAAAAAACTTATAAACAAGATTCTGCAACTTAATGCGCAAAATAGTTCTTTGCTTTTTGGACAAGAATTCATTTGCAGGACCAGCAGCTGTTCTGATATTTCTGGCTTTTTTTGCCGGATATTTGTAAGCATTTTGGAATTGAAAATAAAGAGATCTCTTTTAAAACTGATTTTTACACAAGTTGTCAATGCTTCTTGAAAAGTTAAAGTTGGAATTGAAGTATGCGATAGTGGTGTAGTGGTAGAGCTCTCGCCTCATAAGCAAAAAGCTACAAGTTCAATCCCCACCATGTCCTTGATAGTGCTGTGCTCAACTTATTTTTTTGCGCAGTGTCCTTGTTCATCAAGATTCGTGTTTCAGAATTATAGAGTTGGAAGAGGGTTATAACCACAATTAAAGTAGCCTCCTCAACTGTAGTAGCCTTCTCCACCTTAGGGAGGTGAATTAATATTTAAAAAAGCAATTAAAAAAACAAGTTAGTGTTGCGGTTGGGGTTAAATTTGGTGTTGCAGGTGGAATTAAGGTTGGTGTTTGTTGAAGAATTTGGGTGTAATTTTCAAAAGTTCTTTCAAAATAAACAATAATTTGAGTACAATTGTAAGTTTTTCTGCAACTATACAACTGTGCATTGAGACTTTTTTGGACAAATTGCTGAAAATTTCAGCATAAAATTTGCTCAAAATGTTACATCAAACATCCTGGAAAAAAACACCAACATCAAAGGGCTGCAAAGTTTGGGATATTTAGGCAGGAATGCACACTAATTTTATAGTTTAATTTACATTTCAAGGCTACATTTCATGACACATGTGCTGTGGCCATCAAAAGTAAAATATGATTACCACCAATTTTTTAATGTAAGGAATGTTTCATCAAGCCATTGCAAAAATTGATTACTTTCCATCCAGACAGTTAAAAATTGAACATCCTGGTGTCTGGGACTCCTTAAATCCTATTGCCATAAAGCAGATTCTTCGATTAGTAAGATATGCATCAGTAATTAAGCTCAACCTACCATTTTCAATCTTTTCCAATGGGCTTTTTATTGTCTCCTCATTGTAAGACTTCTTGTTTGTTTTATTTTTTGACATTTTAAGTTCAGTAAATTTAACTCAGCTACAGATTAATGAAGATTTTCGAACATGAAGAATATGTATATTTGTGGTTGCTTTGTGTACTTTTGCACTTTAACTTCAACAGTAAAAGCACAAAATTAACGCTTGTGAAAAATTAAAAAAACATGTGAAAAAATTATAAATTAATTAAATAATAACAAAACTCAATTAAGGTGAAAAAAGAATTAACAGAAATTCACCTACAACATTTTAATTTATTATAAGAAAATTTATAGTATCTGGTTTAAGATGGAAAACTAAAAAAATTTATGTTTCTGTTAACTTTTTAACAGATTAAAATTTTTAAAATCAAAAAAATTTTTTTGAAATTAGTTAAGTAATTTTCTACAAAATTTTCTTTCTTCATTTTTAAACCATTGCTTTTTTAAACCATTCATATTGAGAAACTTCCAAAATAAACTTTGATCTTTAGGATTAGGGTTTGCTGTAACATAAATAAATATAAAACATAATTATCTTATTAAAGCAATTATTTTAATAACCTTATTTTGATACTTTACCATTTTCCAAATACTGAAAATTAAAAAATTCTTTTAAATTTGAGAAATTTATTTTTAATCAAGATATTTAATTTACCCAATAAGTGCATACTTTTGTGGTTTTGGTCTATTAGACATGTTGGTTAAGTTATTATAATTAATAAACAATGAAATATTTTCAATGTAGTGTAAACTATACTTCAATATATACTTTCTAAATTTATATAAATGATTTTATCTTTTTAAACAATATTTTAAAATCTTATATGATTTTGGAAAACTATAAACAACTCAAAACTTTACTTCTTTTTGAAGGACACGATTAAGTGAGTGTGCTTGCTCTTCCTTAACAGCTTTTTTTTTACGCAAATTCGTGACGTCTAATACATCCCTAGACTCAATGCCAAGTCTCTCTCGCATTTCTTCATTTTCAATAGTTAAAATGTCAACCTCTTCATTGAGAGCATTGATTTGTGATGTTAAATCTTCTATATTTCTGTAGAGCGAAATTTGCATTATGTTGCGAATTTTTTTTATCATTTAAATATAACAATTATACAAAAAGAATATATTTATTAATTACCTGTCTCTTATACGAATTTGCACTCTGCAATCTTTAATTTCTTGCACAGCTTCAGAAAGCCCATATTCACCATGTTCATACTGAATTATTCGATTAGTCAGCTCGGTTATTTGACGATCTTTTTCTATAACATCTTTTTCAATCTTTAACAAAATAACTTTAATTAATTTTGTTTAAAGATTGAAAATTGATTGAAAATCTTTTTTTTAATTGTAAACTAAATGAAAAACCTCAATTATTCTTTCTCTTTCGGTCTTTGTATTTAGTTGTTCCTGTTGTAATGTCTGGTTAAGTTTATTGATTTTTTTTTGCTGTAAAATTGATGAACTTTCTTTAGATGTACTTTTTAAAGTATTAATTTGATCAATATACTCATTGTAATCTTTTGTTGCCTAAAAAAATTGATAAAACTAAAAAAGTCTGACACAAACTAATTAGATTTCAAAATACAATCTATAATTACATACAAGTTCTAACTTCTTCTTCAACTCGTTAATTTGCTCGTCTTTCCTTTTGTTAGCCTAGACACATAATGATGTTAACTTTTGAATAGACACACAACGATGTTAACTTTTGAAATTTGAGCACAAATTATAATTGATCCAAACAATACAACAATGTTAAGTGATTCAGAATATAAATATTATGTATTGCAAAATATACATCAAAAATATAAAACTTTTGTTTTGATAAAAAATAACTACCTCTGTAAGCTGAACTATATCATTATGATCAGAATCTAGTTGTGCAGTACGAAGTTGTCGTTCTAAGTTAAAAACCTCTAATTTATAATTTGCAATTTCTTCATCTTTAGCTGACAAAATATCCTAAAATATATAAATTAAACACATGAAAGAATACACAGGAATAGGAATATATGATACAAAAGTATTCTTTTTGCATAAGTTCATGCATAGATTACCTACGAAGTTTATTCTGTAGGTAATTGTGGTACGGGTGGCATTGAAAATAAGTAAAACTAATAAACTTCCAAATAATGTAAAAATTTATTCAGTAGTTACACTTTTATTGGATTAAAAGAATAACAAACATCAGTACTTTTAAACTTAATCATTTTAAATAAAAATTCAAAATATATTCATACATGAATATGTTGTATTACAATTTCCATATACTTGCAAAATAAATAAATAATCTATTAGTTTTTATTATCAAGTTATTACTTTCCATTGGAGAACTTTCTGATTGAGTTCATTCATAATTTTATCATCCCCATCTGTCTGCTTTTGAAGTTGAACTGTCATATCATGAATCTATTAAAGAAATAGTACATCAATATAAATAAATAAATAGTATGTTAATATTAATAAAGAAATTGTGCAGAAATATTATTATGATGATAATGTAAATGTCAAAAATAAATTTAAGTCAAAAATAAATGTTAACTCAAGTCGAAAATTTTAAAAATATGAATATTATTATTATTTTAAACTTGTTGTTAAATGTTGCTAAGGCTAAGTCTTGCTTAGGCTAAGTGATATTTTTATTTCTTTAATAAGTTTCTAGTATGAATAGCAAAAGAATAGCGCCATCCTGTTTAACAGCAAAAGACTAGCCCTATTTAACAATAAGAGGCCCATTCGGTTTGGCAATGGCTGTTTTAATTGGTAACGTTTTGTGACTAGGTTTATTAATATTAATTTATACTAAGTTTAGTTAAATATCAATGAGTCAATACCACCCCATCATACAAGTCTACCTCATTATACAATACTATATCATCATACCATACCATCTCATCATACAATACCACCTCATATTATTTTTGTAACTTTAGACAATTTTTTACTTAAAAAAAATTTTTTTTTTCCTACCCTTTGTACTCCCAAAAACAGTAATCTGCTTTTTTGTTTTTGTTTTTAAAAAAGCAAAATAACAAAAACTTTAAACAATTAATATTAAGCAATGTAGCATGGGCGTCTCATTAAAAAACAAAACAAACATGAACGACAGTTATTATTTTAAAAAAATTTCTTTTTTATGAAGGTCATTTTAATCAACAAAAGCAAAGCTGTATTCACTAAAATCTATCATTGTGATTAGATTGTTAATTAATTAATAACCAAGTAAATAATTTGACATTATAGTATGCTAGTATTTTAAGCGAACTATATTTAAAAATTGACTAGGTTTTATAATTAAAACATTAAACTTGTTAATAACTGTTTTAATTATATATATTCCTATTTAAGCTTAACTGCTCCAAATTTAAAAACATTTTTTAAATTATCATTAACATTTTACAACTTCATTTAATTCTTCTCTTCACTAGTTTAACCAAACTTTTATCAATCTAATTTAAAGTGTTATGATAAGCTTTTCTTGCTTTTTATGCATATTAAGTTTAAATCTGCATTACTTGATGTGGTTACTTGAGATGCCCATGCTACAAAACTAATTTCATCAGCTTCTGCATAGGAAAAAGTATTTAATTTAGAGAGTTGAACAAATTTGATTGGCTTTACTTGCCATAAAAAATTTTTTTTACAGCAAAAGATCAGTAGTTTTTCATTGTTCTAGTTAAATATGTATTTAAACAATTTTAAATAATGTATTTAATGCTTTTAATGTATTTAATGTGTTAAATATGTATTTAATGTAATTGTTAAATATGTATTAAACAATTTTTGACTTTTTATGAAGTTCTTCCTCATTTTTTATTTTATTCCATTTTATTTTTTTTTTTTTTTTTTTTTTTTTTTTTTTTTTTTTTTTACAATTTTGTTTTGAATGATAGTGGCCATAAGCTTATACATTAAGTATCCTTTATATAATTTTTGAACAAAATGATTTGAACCACTTAAAAATTTAACCAAATAAAACTTATAAAAAAAAAGAAACCTTTATTTAACTTTTAAATCTTAAACTAAATTTTATACAGCAGTTACAAAAAAAAAAAATCAAGCAAAATTAAAAAATAATAACCAAGAAAAATTAAAAAACAAAAATCAAGCAAAATTATAAAAAAACAAATAAGCAAAATTACTTTTAGAATGCGAATTGTATTTTAAGCACATCTAAAGAATTTTAATACTTGGAAATCTATTGGTTGCAGTTTTTACAACTTAATGTTAAAATTTTAATAAAAAATGTCTTTTTAATATAACTTTAATAGGAAGACATAAACATAGTTGTTTTTTAGATATTGCAATGTTCGCAATGCAAACAATGTATAGATTAAAGCTCATGCAGCTCTCTATTTCATTATGGCATCATCAGTGTGTATTTAAAGTTGCATTTGCAGGTCACAGGGAGCTCAGTATCTCAAACAAGTTAACTCTATGTCCTAGACTTTTCTTGTAGTAACTTTTTTGCAACAAACTCTCAACAAAAAAACTTTTTTGTTGAGAATTTATTGCAATTTATGCCAAATTATTAAACTATGACATAAACTTAAGCAAACAGAAACTATCAAGCGAAGAGGTCAGAGGGGGGGGGGGAGAAAAAGTGATGGCAAATTAATAAATATTGTTATAAAATTTTATAAAAAATTTTATAAAGTGTTTTAAAAAATTGGCAAAATTAAAAAAATAATTTGTATTTTTTTAATCGGAATGATTAAAAATTTTCATTCCGATTTTTTAAAATACAAAAATTTAAAACAAAACAGTTGAAGCAAAAAAAGACTTCTAATTGTTTCCTATATTCCACATTATCCTTACACTTTTTTTAAAATAAAAAACAAATCAGTTTAAGTAAAAAAGACTTAAAATTGTTAGAAAATATTTAAAAGTTATCTTATACATATTTATACACAATGATGTATATGATCTGCAAACACAACTTAAGCTTCTGATATTTAAATTTACAGACATTTGCATGTAATGTTGTACAAATGAAATTTATACATATCTTATAAATTTCTTGTACTTTCTTATAAAAAAGTGCTAAAGAACTTATTTTCGATTTTTTTTTCTTTATTGGATACCTTTAGATCACTGTCAAATGCACAACAACGTAATAGTTGTTTGGTATTAGAGAACTTAATAGTTTCTCTAATACCAAAAAATTTTCATAACTTTTCCTTGTGAAATTTTTTTGGTATTAGAGAAAATATGCTAGAAAACTCTAATCTTTTGGTTTGTGGTGATCTAATAAACTTATTCTTGTGATACAATAGAATGTTGTTTTTATGCTCTTAAACATTAGTTCACTTTTTTTTTATTGTTTTTTTATTGTTTTTATTTATTGCTTGTGGTTTACCCATTTCTTTTTCCACTTGCTTTCTATTGAACCAATAAAGGTTTCTTCAGTTGTGTTTTTCCCTACAACTTTCATTTATCAAGCAGACTTCAATAATTTAAAAATGCAAGCTAAAGCTGTTATTAGATTTAATAAACATAATATGGTATGACTTTTTAAACTTTTACTAACTTTTCTTACGATTGAAGAGTTTATGGAGTGGATTAAATAATGTAAAGTGTTTATCTAATAGATTTAGAAAAGTATTAAATTTTATAATCTTTAAAGCCATTTCTTTTTAAGACATCATCAAATTCTGCGAGGTAAAGATTATTTGTTTGAAGAATTTTAGGATAACCTGTCATTGATAGAGATTTGTTTCATAATTTGTAGAAGGTGGTTTGGTTTGTTGTACATGCAAAGCAGTTTGTTGTTTGGTTTTTTGAAATAAAGGTATGAAATACTTAAAGCTTAAAAGTTAGATAATGAACAGTAGTCTTTTTATGTTAAGTTACTTCTATTTTCTATTGTAATTTGTATGAAACTTATAGTTGTAAAATATATAAAACTTATTGTTGTAAAAAATATGCAGCTTTCATTTTAAAAAATTACAATAAGAGTGAGGAAAGAAAATTATCAATGTTGCAAAAGTGGACAAATAATGGTGAAACTTATCCTTAAGATCAAAACACATTCAACAATGATGTTTTAAAGAATGCAATGATGTTTTAAATGAAAAAAGGTGGTTAGCATCACTTGTCAGAGATGCAATCTTACTACCTATATCATTGTATATATCTATAATTCATATTATAGCTATACTCTAACTTTACAATTTTTTTTATAAAAGCAAATTACTATACATGTCAATTTCAGTTTTAAGTTATTTTGAATTATTGTAAACCATATTAAACACATGTGTTAAAAGTAAAAAATTAAATAATAATAAAAATATAAAAACTATTTTTATTTTAAATTAAACTAAAAAATTTTAATATTATTAAAATATAAAACTATTATTATAAAAATTCATTAAATAATTAAAAAGAAATTATTATTATTGATAATATTATATTTATGATATTTTGCAACCAGATTAAAAAACTTAATTAAACTGATTTTATACATAAATTTGTCAATCATTTTACTGTCAAGAGATTTTGAGAACAAATAATTTAAGAAAACTTAAAGTTTTACCTGTGAACGCAAAATGTCTCTTTCTTTCCGCATCTCTTCCAAAACGGCATCTGTATCTTCTAGAATTACCTAAAATTAAAATGAAAAATAAATTTATCTCAATTGTAAGTATATGCAAATTTGGTCATTTTTAGTATAAATAATGTTATGTAATTTTACAAATTTTATTAGGAAAGTATTGTAACAAAAAGGAAGAGGAAAAATCAATAAGTGACTGAAAATAAAATACAAAAAGTAAAATGTCAATAAATGTAATATATCAACCATAAAAAAAAAGTGAAAAAAAAAACCTTGAGTTTTCCATAGTCATCAGTGATACTATTCATATCTTGAGTGGCTTGCTCTAATTCCTTTTTCGCATTTTCTACATCCTGTACTAACTTGTCGTTTTCATCTTGTAATTGCTGTAAAAATTATTTTTTTTTTTTTTAAAAAAGAAGGAATAAAACTTATTTCAAAAAAACAAAAAATACAAACTTTTATGTCATCTAAATACTGAGACATTTCTTTGTTCTTTTTTTTAATTTGTTCACGAATTTCATCAACATCTGTTCGATGAGTGGTTATATTTGCACGCTAAACAGTAAATTCAATTTCAATGTCAAAGATTACTTTTAGAATAGAGTAGATAACAAATTTTTTTAAATTTTAAAAACAGTAATGAATATTAACACAGGTTACAAAAGAAATATCATCTAGACACCATACTTGGGATTGAAATTGTCGTTGATACTCTAATATATCAGATTGCGCAGTGTCAAGCTTAAAAATAATAATATCAATACATTTAAAACACAACAGAAGCTTAAATATTGCAAGGAAAACTAATTTATAATTGGTTATTTATACAAGAAAGTAAAAACAATCATCTATAGATGTAAGATTATTATGTGCACTGCAATTTTTTACACATGTACACTATAATTTTAACATTACACATGTACACTATAATTTTAACATTACACATGTACACTATAATTTTAACATGACACGTGTACACCATAATTTTAACATTACACATATACACTATAATTTTAACATTACACATGTACATTATAATTTTAACATTACAAATGTACACTATAATTTTAACATTACACATGTACACTATAATTTTAACATTACACATATACACTATAATTTTAACATTACACATGTACATTATAATTTTAACATTACAAAGGTACATTATAATTTTAACATTACACATGTACACTATAATTTTAACATTACACATGTACATTATAATTTTAACATTACAAATGTACACTATAATTTTAACATTACACATGTGCACTATAATTTTAACATTACACATGTACACTAAAATTTTAACATTACACATATGCACTATAATTTTAACATTACAAATGTACATTATAATTTTAACATTACAAATGTACATTATAATTTTAACATTACACATGTACACTATAATTTTAACATTACACATATGCACTATAATTTTAACATTACAAATGTACATTATAATTTTAACATTACAAATGTACATTATAATTTTAACATTACACATGTACACTATAATTTTAACATTACACATGTACATTATAATTTTAACATTAACTTATTCAATCATTAAAATAACAATGCCATTCCGAAAAATTCTAAACTATTCAGTAGCAAGATTACAAATCAAAAATTCTAAAAAATTTCATGGTAAAAATGAAAACATGCAAAAATATTATTAAAAGTATTTTTTTTAAACAACCTTTTGCTTTGTTTCGAGATACTTTGCTTCCATTTGCTGAATTTCTAAAGTCATCTAAAAAAAAAATGAAATGATATTATATAAATATAATAATAAGTATGTTAACAAATTGAATACAACATCCTTATCTAATAACACCACCAGTAGAAGAATAGATGACATGTCTGCTGATATTCTTGAGCAGGTAATCCAGGAAATAAAATCTGTTTTCCTTGAAGTATTTAGCATCCAACTTGATGAATCAACAGATATGAGAGACTGCTCTCAGTTACTAGTTTGCGTGAAGTATATTAAAGAAAACAAATTCAAAGATTTCTTTTTTGCAAACCATTTGAAACTACTGCACATGATGTATTTGATACAGTTTTTTTTTTCATAATCATGACATCCCTTGGAAAATGTTTTTTTTTCATAATCATGACATCCCTTGGAAAATGTTTTTTTTTATAATCATGACATCCCTCGGAAAATATTTTTTTTTTCATAATCATGACATCCCTTCGAAAATGTTTTTTTTTCTTAATCATGACATCCCTTCGAAAATGTTTTTTTTTTCATAATCATGACATCCCTTGGAAAATGTTTTTTTTTCATAAAAAAACTTGGAAAATGTTTTTTTTTTCATAAAAAAACTTGGAAAATGTTTTTTTTTCATAAAAAAATGCAACTAGATTTGTTAAAAAAGAACCGAGCATTCTGATTGAAACATCAACTTTAACAAACAAATAAATTTTACATGATGTCAAACTTATCTGCTTTCTTTGAGAAAAATGACATTGAACATAAAACAATGAAAAGAACAATACTTTCAAAGAACACTTTAAAGTTCTCGAAAAAGAAATTTCAAAATAATTTCCAAATTTACTAAACACACCATTTGCACTTATGTATTTTGTTGATAAACTATTATAAATCAATTAAAAAAAAATTGTAACAAAAAAATATGGTGTTTATAAATAAAATTATAAGTCAAAAAACATCATAGTTAGCTGCAAAAATGCAGTGATTTAGAAGTAATCTTATTAACTTAATTGTTGGGGATGACGAATGTTGGGGATGACAAAAACTTGACAAATTGTTGGGGATGACAAAAACTTGGCAAATTTTATCAAGAGGTCACAGCTTCAGAAAAGTTAGGAATTGCTGCTTTAGAGAGTATGGATAATAAAAACTATGATATGAAAGGTTCATGGTGTCTATTGGTTTTTTGTTTGAAGTACTTTGTGTGTGGCTATTTTTATTTTTATACAATGATAAATTCAAAACAAGCATATTAATTATTAAATAAAATAATTAATTTATATATAATTAACATACACGATCATAAGTACTTTGTTCTCTTCTTAATCTATTGTTTGATTCAATAAGCTCTTGCTCCAAAAGCTAGAAAAAATAAATATTACTATATGTATCTAAGTATATCTTTTGTACCTTATGAGCTTTTTTAAATCAAGTTTTTATTCATATAAATATTTACCTTATTTTGTTGTTCCAAAGCTAGTATTTCTGAGCGAAAATAACTCTCTCCAGCTCCTGAATGTTTCTATTTAAAAAAATAATTTTTTAGTTTTTAAAGTTACACTTTAGTTAACTGTCAGTATGACAACAAAAGATCAGTGTATTATAGTTATGAAAAATTTTGATCAAACTTTATTCTTATAATTTTAAAATATATTTTATTCTGTAGCTAGGAACAAAAATAATTAAAAAAAAAATATTTTCATAAAATAAAATAAAAATACTTGATATTGCTCTAACTGAGATTGCATTAGCTGCAATTTTGAAAGAAGATTTTTTTCTAAAAAACAAACAAAAAAGAATAAAAAATAAAATAAATGCTTCATATTTAACAAAAATTTTGGTGTAAGATAAAGTATATATAAATATGATAAAGTTCACTTTTACATTCTTTTTTTTTTTATACTACCTTTCTTCTACTAACTCTTTCATCAATAACTCAAATGGGATTTTAAAATTTCTATTTAAGTTGAGCATCCAGACACAGCAAGCACAAAAATTTATTTTTTTGTGCAAAAAATCAAACATTGCACATGTAGTTATTACATAAACCAAAACAATAAAATATTAACTAAAACTTTATTAAAAACTAACCTCTATCAGATGCCACTTCATGAGTAACCTTTTCAATCTCATCAACGGCTACTTCATATTGCATGGCTTTCATCTAATAATGGATGTTCTTCATATTAAAAACAATTTTTTCAACAACAACAAAAAAACAAAGGATATAAATAAAAAAATTTTGATTCAATACTTAGGAAAAAATACTTTCCTTTTGGCTCTGTTTTGATACATACATTTTGGTTCCTAATGCAAGGTTGAATATTAAATTTGAAACTCCACTCATACAAGCATTATCATGTCATTTCCTTATTTTAAGGTGAATTAAAAAACTTTATAGAAAAGTTAAACCAATTTTTTTTTTACTAACAAACGCCCTGATGTTAACCTAATTTGCAGATGAGAAAAGAGCATTTTGTGATACTACCACTAAGAATATTACCACCTTAGATTTTATGAGTTCCTTCTATCCTTACCAATTATTAAATTATGAATTTTAAATAAGAGCTTTTCTCCATGAAAGGTAAGGTTCACCTATGTACATTGCATTCACCACTGCTAAAAACCATCACTTACTTACCCTAATATAAATATTTTTTATAAAATTTCATTTTAATTGTATATTATTATAAAAACATCATCAGAATAAAAATTTATTTTCATATTTTCAAATTTACGCAACAAACTAGAACTCACATTCATGACAACTCTGGTGACTTCAAACAGCTTTGCAAGATTCTCAGGATCTTTCTCATTCCCCAATGACCCCTGGTATATAAAAAGATTAGTAAAAAAATAAAAAATAAAAAGAGAAACCACCTGAAAAACTTTGGTAATAAAATTAGAAAAAAAAAAAACACTAGCCCAACCATAACTGTGACTCTAAAATTCAAAGAACTTAAAATAATAAAATTCTCAAGAATTAAAAGAAATTAAAAAAAACATTTAAAATTAAATTAAAATATTAAAACTTTAATAAAATGCTTACCTGCGACAAAAAAGCAAAATACTCGTCAGCAGCATCTTCATCATTAGCAAGTATAGATATGTCAGCAGCTTTGATGAGATTCCAATCCAAGTTTACCATTATACGAGATAATTAATTCTTAAATGTGGTCATCACTTATGAAAACA